AAAAATTCACGGTTCCGGTTACCGCAACCGTTACACTACGGCCTTTACACCCCGCAACCGCAACCGCGTCACCGCCACCGTTACGGCAACCACAACCGCTTTTCAGAACCTTGGGTGCAATGAACAGAACCCTGGCCGGAGATAGAAGATAAAGTGCCATCAGCCACTTTAACCTTATCTCGCCCAGAACTAGGTGAATAAGAATGGAAAAAACTAGAAGTACCGGTCATGTGATCGGTAGCTCCGGAATCAATGATCCAAGGAGACGACGAAGAGGCACTGAGTGCACTAGCAAAAATACCTGTGTTAGCAAAGTTGGAAGAGGCAGAAGAGGAAGAAGCTAAGGCAGATGAAGAATCAAGTCGAGCCATCAAACGTCTAAGACTGTGAAGCTCATCCGGGGAAATATGAGAACCAACATCATTGGAGGCACTAGCAGTAGTCTCAGAAACATGTGCTTGAGGACGAACACCACCACCATGACCACGGCCTCGAGTAGGGCGGCCATGCAACTTCCTACAGTGTTCTTTATCATGTCTATCTTTCCCACAATACTCACACTTCAACCGGTCCCGATCAACCAATGAACCCTTACCACCACCTGGAAGCGGAAAAGGCGGAGTATCACGTGACTTAGGGCCGAGAACCATCGCTGACCGATCCGGAACAGGAGCCTGCACCATAGCACTACGACGACTCTCCTCCTACTCGGCCGACACACCTGTGAATCTCAATCACACTGCAAAAGCGGCCGTAACGGGTGACGGTAACCGCCAAAACCGTTACGTAACGGCGTTACGTAACGGTTGCGGCCGCTTTTTAAAACCTTGGCTGAAACATAGTGGCATCTTTGGAGCAAACTGGCTGGAAACTCTGGTAAAAATCTAGCTCTTGCCACAAACCACTCAACTTAGCATAGTAGACTGCCAGAGAGCGATCCTTCTGATCCAAACCCCTAATCTTCTTACACAATTCATAGGCCTGTACATCATTCCCTTGTTGAGAATACATCTGAGAGGCAGCTATCCAGATCTTTTGAGCAGTATCCATCAAGAGAAAAGTCCGACTAATGGTAGGCTCCATAGAATTGATGAGCCAGGTCGTATGTAATAACCCACATTCATGTCTTAGTCATGTTCATGTGCATTTGCATGATTTCGTCTTGTTAAACTTGCATTTGTAGACTGACTTGTTTTGCCTAGGTAAAAGTCCCTGTCTTGTTTTGTGCTTATGTGATTTGCCTAAGTGTTGTATGCATGCTTTTGTTAGAATTTCCCATCTTTACCTTCACCTACTCCACTACACACTCCACTTCACCTACCTCCACTTCACCACACACTCCACTTCACCTAACCCACTATCACCTCCACTACACCTACTACCACATTTTCTTCTATATATAGATTGTATAGGAATTGTAATTAATTAATCTTGTAATACATCAAGATCAAACAATCAATAATACAGTATTGTTAACAGCTTTGTTCCTTCCTTGCTGTCTCAAGCCGAGGTCATGCCAAGCCTAGGTCATGTTAAGCTGAGGTCATGCCAAGCCTAGGTCATGTTAAGCCTAGGTCATGCCAAACCTAAGTCATCTCAAGCCTAGGTCACACCTTTGAACCTCTTACACCTAGGACCATCTTGGAACCACTTTTGTTGACCTCCACCTTCACTCTGGCATATTGGCCGAGATGTCATCATCTAGGCCGAGATGTATATCATCTAGACCGAGATGTTATCATCTAGGCGTCTTAGATCTTTGATCCTTGCACCTAGTGATCTTGTTCCGGGACTGGTATAACCTAAACCGAGGTGTGGCACAGCTAGGTCAAGTGTTATCCTTCCTAGCCGAGATCATTGAGACCTTACTTGCCGAAGCCTATGTCCTAATCCGAGATCATTACCTGCCGGAGTGCCCATGTCACCTTGCTTTTTGTACACCCTTTGTCATGCTCTTGTCTTGTCATTCAGTCACCTTTTTGAGGAAACCCAATCCAGTAGTGCCACTTGTCCCAACAGAGGGTTAAGTCAGCCGACAGCAGAGAAAACATATCATTTGTCATAATCTTTGCCTTTGAAGAGAGCGAAGCTCTTGGAAAGAGGAAGAAGTTTTTAAAGGGAGAGAGCTAGAGTCCAAGCTTGATCTTCACATCTTGAACCGTTAGATCCGTGTTTTGAGGTTAGATTCTTGATCTACTCTTGTTATTCTTTATGTTAATCCGATCACATTGCATGATCTAGCATGATTCATGAGCCATGCATTGATTTAAATCTTGTTTTAGAAAGAGAAAATGGTGTTCTTGTGTTCTTGAAGGAAAACCATGTTTTGATCCGAAAGTTTGTATCAAGATCCATGTTTTTGTGTTTGTGTTTGTTTTCATAAGATCTTCAAGTATGGGTACCCAGGTTTATGTTTTCAAACTCATCTCATGAAATCTCATATTTTGAATAAAGAAGTTACGATTTTAGCATTCATTTCTTCATGTTCATGTCCTTCATGTTCATTAAGACGGAAACCCAGATTTCCAGACCTCACTTCCCTAGGTGTGGTCACCAAGACCACTCTTGCCTAGATCTCACACCTAGACCAAGCATCGTATCTCACCTTGGCCTACCTTGCATGATCACTTGCACCATTAGTCTATCTCGCATGCACACCTAGGCTAACCACTGCACACCTAGGCCGACCATGGTACGCCCTTGCAGACACCTTGTAACACCTCAGCAGGCAGCTGCACGCCAAAGCCTAGGTAACCACACCTCGGCCAAGAGGTGTGGGACCTCGGCCAAGACCTCCTGAGTTCACCCAGCTAGGTCATTTTTGCCAAGATCATTTCTGTACATCCATTCCAAGACTTGGTTGGTACCCAACATGTTTTCCCTAGATGAAAAACAGTGATTTAACTCCCAGCATGTTTTCTTTGTCTTGACTTGGTTTTGGAAAGAAATGCCGGGATCATTTTCATTCATGTAAAGCTTGTTTTAAGGATGCATTGCACAACCATCTTTGAGTATTCCTTCTTGTCTTCTTGAAGTGCATTCAGTAGACTTTATTATGTATTTGTAGGTCTTGGATCCTTACCTTAATCCCTACACCCAAAGAGCTATGTGAGTGGTATTTTTAATAAAGCTATGTTATAAAGTTTTGATAAATCTTTGCTTCGTTTTGGAAAAGTGTTTGTTCAAGTATGAATGATTATCCCTAGTTTTGTATCAAGTATTATCTTGTTTTGATGACATTCTTGGAAAGTCCTTTCACACTAGGGGACTATAAGCCCATGTAGCACCATGTTTGAGAGATCTCTGCCATCGACGGTCTTGTACGGATGGCCCCACCGACGGCCTTGTGCTGGTGGATTTGTCTAATCGATTCCGGGTCGATTATTCCCTTGTTTTGTCCGGAATGTCATCCCCCATGTATTATGTAGATGTTATTAAACATCCCAAGAAGATTTGAAAGATTTGATTGATGAACTCGATTCATCCCATGTTTTGTTACAAGCTATGATATGTATTGTTTTGATAAAGATCTCGGATATCATTCATTCAAACCTTTATTAATTATATCATTCACTGAGTATCCAAGCTCACCCTCCCCTTTATATATATGTAGGTGGCGAGCAAGAAGGCGGTGACGCCTAAGATGTTATGTGCAAGATGTTTTGATTCATGTTTTGTATTATCTTGAAAATTATGCTTCTTAGTTTGTAACTCATTTCTTTTGTATATGTCAGCTTGAGAAGCCTTTCGATCAAGATGTAACATGTACTTTATTATATTTGTATCCAAGTTGTAAACCATATTAAGATGTATGACATTTCATTCGATTTATGCACAGCTCTTATGGACTACTTAGATTTAAATTTGCTTCCGCATATGTAGGCCCCATATATTTATACTCTGATTGTGTGTGAATCTTTGTAAGTTGGCCTTTGGTAATCTCGGATCACTGGCCATCACGGCACCATTCTACTAGGGGCGGAATGGGAGTCGTGACAGATAGAATGGGTCGTGACATCATATCTAAAGCATTCTCTGAAATCCATTGAGCAGATAAAGCACTATCCTCAGAAGGTGGCTGGTTACTACCAGTAATATAGCCAATCAAACGCCGGGCAGCAATGGCAAGACTACAGGAGCGGGACCAAATCAAGTAATTAAAACCATTAAGTTTGACCGGACTAATTTGGAGAGAAGGACTATCACCAAGAGTCAGACCACGACTCAGTCCACTCTCCTCCTTGCCCTTAGAGTCCTGACCCAAGTTGTCAGCCATGAGATGAGAAAAGAGGATGCAAAAAACACAAGCTGGATATCAAACAAGTCCAGAAATCACCCAACCAGCACACCAAAACACCTTCTAAGGCTAAAACAGTCCAAGAGAAGCCCAAAACAGAGCAACCAGATCAACTACAAGCCAGAAAACCGAAGCAGAGCATCTGAACAGCGATAAAAAACCAAGATAGGGCCAAAATACATCAAAACAGGGACAATAAACCCCTCTAGGGTTCCAGTCGGCTCCTAAGGATAGGAGAATAAGGGACAGAACCAGAAAAAATAGGGTCAAACAGTGATTTTCGAAAAATCACCCAATTTTGACGAAAAATCAAAAAAATTAGAAAACTCAATCAATAATGACTAAACAATCAAAATGACAATATAGGGTGATTACCCATTAATTTTCGAGCATACTGTATTTTTTTTTTTTTTTTGTTGCTATAACAGACGCACCAGGGACAGTATGAAGCCTAAGGAACAATCTTCAAGGTGGAAGATAGTGCTCTGATACCATGTTGAATGTATAGATGAGAAGAAGAAGAAGAAGAAGAAGAAGAAGAAGAAATAGAACGAGAAAAAGCTGCTGTATAATATTGATTCAAAAAGCATAGGGTTTCCCCCTTACACATAACTACTTATACTAATAAGAATAATACATAAAGACTAAACTACCCCTAACACTTAACATCAATAGAGTTAATCAACTGCAACTCAAAGCTCACCTCAGATGTTTACATAACTGAAGCAAATTACAAAAGCTCCCAATCTTCATCAATTCCATTCACCAAACAGTAGGAAATGCCTGCTTTATATTATTTGCACAGCAAAAAAATATTAGAATGGTTCAACAAAATAAAGCTCTTCTTTCAGCGGACAGTAATGAAGTTCACAACCAACATAAATTTAAATGTGTTTATAAGAACTACATATACAGTGGCCTCAAGTAAAACACATGTATGCAAAAATAAATAAATAAAAAACCAGATAACCAGCAGTTAAACACGTGTAAGGATTTACAAGTGAAAAAACTCGCTAGAATTGGCAGCGTTACCAGAGTAGCCATCAAAAAACAAAGAAAATAGAAAAACAACCAAGAGTTTACAGTGCAAACACAGTAGCCTACTGATGTTCTTGTACACCAGTCCATATGGACAAAAGAGATACAATAGAGGCAAAAAATACATGCCAACAATTTACAAACCTAGTCCTTTTCAGAGAAGGCAACCAGCCACATCGAGCATCCACAGTACCATGACATCCACTCTCATTAACAGTAAGAACCATGCCCATGGTGACCATATTGCAAGGAATGGCCACGAGAATCTGGCTGACGCTTAGCAACCTGCACTTCACTAGATTAAGACAGCAACTGACTTTTGCCTAGTTGGGCACCATGATTCTCCTGAGGGCTTAGTCCCAAAGGGGAGGTCATAGATTCAACTCTCCCAAAGGAGAAGTTGAATTAAGGACGCAAGCACTTGGTGCTTTGCAAGGGTGGGAAGGCTAACTCCCATAAGTGCTAATCTAACAACTAACAATTGACTTTTGCCGATCAAAAAAAAAAAAAAAAAAGATTAAGACCGCAGCAGAACAATTTTATACAAACATGCCCAAAAAAATAAATTAACCAATCCGAAATGCATTAAGCTCCTTCCAAGCAAATGATACATCAAAGGACATTTGTACACAGATCATAGGTCAAAGTTTCAATAATGGATAAATTTCCAGAATGTAAAATTACAACTGCCGATGGTTTAGAGTCTTACCTGAATTTGAGATGGCATACTTCAGCAGATCTTACCCAAACAAGAAGTGCTGTTTTTAATACAGACACAATTTCTTTGCAAGGTTTTTGCCGCCTAGCAAGATATAGGATCCACCATTTATTCAGACATGGTCTTGCCATTCTCTTACACAAATTCAAGGCTTGCTTAAGTTACTTTATCTCGTCCTGATAAAAGCCAACTCATTCATGCTCTTAATCCCTCTTTCCTTCTCCAAGATACACACAATCTTCCAAACCACAAAACATCAATGTTCCATAACTGTACTAGAATGAGAATTCTAAATTTTTATGAAGTGTAAAACCTCAGAGTACTTATGTAACTATTAAATTCAAATTAAATTGTATCCTACAATCTGTTTTAACAGCAAAAGGCCCCATGCAATTTCTATAAAGCCAGTCTGAAACAAGAGATGTCATCTGATGACGAACTCAAAACCACTAGCAGCTCAACATGAAGAAACATGCTATCTTAAGAAGTGTAAACAAACTCCTAGTTGACCTCAACAAGTTACTTGCTTGCCACGGATTTCAACATCTTATTATAAAAGAAAACTGTGCATACTTCTTAAACATCATGGGCAGCTCTATATACATCAAGAAGATAAATACAGAGTGAGAAAAATGCAATGAAGTCTATTACAATGGACTGTAGCAAATTCTTAACAACTGCAGATAAATTAAGGTGATTTCACCAATATTCTTATTACCAAAATGCAAACAGAATTTATATAAAAAACAAAAAAAATCTTAATCAACTCAAATGATAAACAAACATATGCACGCAGACACACGAACATAAGCAGACACCTAATTGCACAAACACATCAAACATGCACACATGTGTGTGCACATACACACAAGCAGTAAGTGAGACGGGGAAAGAAATATCACCAGGGTGTGAGACCCTTCCAGGTAATTATCCTGAGCCAATTGGCAGCTTCCATCACAAACGGGCACTTATTCAGAGTGAGCTCAGTGGGCACATAGGGTAGCATATTGAGGCAGGATGGCATTTTATTTGCACCAACACAAAATGCTTATCTGGATGGGCAGATTAAAACCATGTCACAGGTGTTTCAAATGCACAAAGCGAAGACAACAAATCTCCAATCAGTTGATCGTCCAAAGGATTTATCCATCTACATAAAAAAATTAACCTAAAATGATCTACCTTTCAACAGCTTTAGGGTTTACTCTCTGTGTTAGTACTAGTATGAATGACTTCTTTTTATATGTCTCACAAAAGAAATGTGCCATCACCAATCAAGTAGACATACTAACTACCAATATACTTGTTCATCCAACAACGCATTTTCTTGCAACATTCATTCTGCTGTCCATTACCCCCATTTGTTAGTATGTTACATCATTTTTAGTCCTCTTTCAGTCAAGTATGCCATTGCCATTTTCAATTAAGGAGGTTCACCCTAATTTTGAAACCAGCATTCTTCACTTGAAAGGGCATTACCTCAATCATTTTGCTCCTGTTTACATCCTTCCTCCTGGCTCCTACCAGCATCACTCAACGTTGAATTGTTGGTGAACAAACCACGACGTCCCATAAGAACTAGATCAAGAAGCTTCCTCCTTGCATTGTACACAGGGTTCAGCTCAATCAAGCACCCCCTCTCATAAGCTTCTCTTAAAAAGACAGTATGTCTCTTCCCCTTGGTTGACAAGTAAAACATCCCGGGGTGATCCAAGAACAAATCCCTTATGTTCAAATCAATCCCAAACCATCTCCTAAAATGGCTGATCTTCTCCACTTCCACCATCTTCTCCACCGTCAAGCTCAAGAATTCATGAACAATCCCAACCGCTCGTTTCTCCAATCCCATTTTCCCACTCTTAGAATTCTTCTTCCCTCCCATCTCCTCATACGGCCCATCATATGGCAATCTCTGCCATTCCTTCACTTTAGCCCTAAAATTCTTACCCAACCTCATTCCCGGAGGATAACCATGTTTAAAACTAAACCGAATTACAGTCCTATCAACACTACAGTCTTCTCTACAACACTCCATGACCCTCCAATTCTCCACTGCAGCAGAGAAATTACAACTAGGAATTGCACTAACGAGTTTCAATATATGAGTATTGGGTTCATACCCATCACAAAGCTCAAAAAGATTAGGGTTTTGGGATATTACCGAGTCCTCGAAATCGTCAGGAAGTCCCAACTCCCTCCAAACCTTGATAATCGCTCGGAGAGGCAGCGAATTGGAGACTGACATGGAGAGGATCCGAACCAATCGATCAACGGCGACCGGCAACGAAGCGTCGATAGCGGCAGCTTCCTGATGGGTAATTTCGACGGCGGCGGCGGTTAATCGGCAGTGAGGCTGGGACTTGGAGGAGTCGTAGAAGAGGTGGAAGATGTGGGGGTACTGGCGGAGGAAGGCGGCGGCGCCGCGGTTGAGGTGGAGCTTTTGGGAGAGGCGGTTGAGGAAGTCGACGGAGATTGATGGTGGGTTGTTGGAGGTGGGGTTTGCGAGGATGAGGTCTTGAATGGAGATGACTTTGAGGAGGTTCTTGTACTTGTCCATGAGTTTCTCGAATGTGGGGTCTCTGGATCTGGAGGCTACGTACTGGGATGAGGTAGTTTTGGATCGGACGGTGGTGGACATTGAAGGAAGGTTGGAGGTGGGTTTGAATTTGAATTTCTTGAAGATGTGGGTTGCCATTGATGCACACTGAGGTTTGAGCTCTGTGAATGGAAGAGACGAGCTTGTGCACACTGCTCACTGATGCACCAGTACATAGCTAAGAAGGCGCTGTTTGGGAAGTTTGGTTTTCGGCTTTTTTCTTTTCTTTTCTTTTTTTCTTTTTTTTTTTCACTAAAAGATAAATTAGTTAAAAAATTAAAAAAAAATCAATCCAAACAAAATATTATATCAAGTCTCATAATCAATTCATTTTTTATTTCACAAACATCACATTCAACCACAAAAAAATTCAACTATCTTTCCAAACACAAAATTTTTTTCTCCAATAATATCCTATAACTAAAAAAACCTACAAAAAAAACCCAATTCCCAAACACCCACAATAAATAAATTAAAAAATGTTGGAGAAATTACAAAAATAAATAAATAAATAAAAAATCCCAAGTTTGGCGTGTTTTTAAAATTAAACCTCATAGTATCAAATTTGATAAATTAAATCATGCAGTTTCTTTCGTGTTTCAATATAATATATCCGTTTGATTGAACTAATGAAATTCGGACAAAATTTTCAGATTTAAGCCCGCATGTTCAAACACTTGTATCTCCTTCGTCGTAACACCGTTTCGCCTCATTTTTTGCGTCGTTGGATTAATCTCATTGCCTAGTTTGCATTCTATCCCTCATACGTCTTGTTCCACCTCTTTTTGTGTGCTGTTGGAATTCTGAAAGTTAGCTAAAAATAAGATTTTTCTCTCTTTGGGCAAAATTTTTAGATTTAAACACACATATTCAAACACTTGTATGTCATTCGTCGTAACTCCGTTTTGCCTCATTTTTATGTCGTTGGATTCACTTCATAGCCTAATTTTCTTTCCACCCATGATGCGCCTTGTTTCACCTCTTTTTGCATGTTATCGGAGCTCTGAAAGTTAGCCAAAAATAATATATATATATATATATTTTTCGTTTATTTTATATCACCATACTTCTTCCTTCCTCCTTCCTTTCCACAATTATTCTTTCTTTTCCTCTTCCTTCATGGCCCTTCCCCCACTCTTATGTTTCTTTCCGTTCTTGTAAGTCATATACATTCATACTTGACAATACCGCCACTATCGGAGGTTCAGTGGTCACTACGAGCTTGGTGGAAGGGCCATGAAGGAAAAGAAAAAAAGAGAATAATTGTGGAAAGAAAGTAGGATGGAAGAAGCATGGAGATAAAAAATAGAAGAGGAAAAAAAATTTATTTTTTACCAACTTTTGGAGCTTTGATGGCATACAAAAAGAGCTGGAATAAGGCGCATGAGGGGTGAAATGAAAATTAGGTCATGACATGAATCCAACAAACCAAAACTGAGGCGAAACGGAGTTACAATGAGAGAGATACAAGTGCTTGAATATGTGAGTTTGAATATGAAAATTTTGCCCAAAGAAAGAAAAATCTTATTTTTGGCCAACTTTCAAAGCTCCGACAATATGCAAAAGAGGTGGAACAAGGCTTATAAGGGGTGAAACAAAAATTAGGCCATGAGGTGAATCCAAAGACGCAAAAATGAGGAAAAACGGAGTTACGACGAAGGAAATACAAGTGCTTGAACATGTGTGTTTTAAATCTGAAAATTTTGACGGCACACAAAAAGAGGTGGAACAAGGCGTATGAGGGATGGAATGAAAATTAGGCAATGAAGTGAATCAAACGACATAAAAATGAAGCGAAATAGAGTTATGGCGAGGAAGTTACAAGTGTTTGAACATGTGTGCTTGAATATGAGAATTTTTCCCAGATTCCATTAGTTCAATCAAATGTATATAGACGGAGGGTTCACATTGAAACACGGAAGAAACTGTAGAGTTTAATTTGTCAAAATTGAAACTATGGGGTTTAATTTGAAAAACACGCGAAACCCTAGTTTTTTTTTTTTTTTTTTTTAATTTTTTTTTTTTTGTAATTTCCCCAAAAATGTTTAAAACACCAAAAAAAAAAGAAAAAAAAAAAGAGGATTATTTTGGAAACTACTACTAATAAGTTGATATTTTTATTTAGAGTTATGCTATTAGTATCCTATGAATTATTTTGAACCTTCCATTTATTTGAACCTCCACTTATAAATTTTGACACTCTCAAAATTTCTTTTCCCCCCTCCCAAATAATACCAAAATTATACTTGTGAAAACATTTCACCTATTGAATGCACACCCCCACACTCCAAAAAAATCCCTCTTTCAAAAAACTTAACAAAACCCATCAAGAAGAAGAAGAGCCAATGTGATTACTGTTTCTGTTGTCTCATCCACCATTGTCACAGTTGGTATGCTCTCTTTATATATATACATAATTTCTTAGGTGTCGTTTGGTAATAGTTTGGCATGATTGAAAAAAGACAAAAAGTCACTATCCTATTTAAGTCACATCATCTTATTTAAGTCGCATCACCTCTCTAACACATCACTTCAAACCCAACTTAAACCCAACCCATATTTCATAAAAAGTCAAAAAGTGCACTTATTTAGTCTTCCCAAACTAGGCCTTACATTTTCAGTTTTCTGTTTATATTTACAAAAATTTTAAAAATTCAAATAAAAACTTGTTTGGTAAAATTTTTGATTTATAAATCAGTGGTCTCAGTTTATAAATTTGGCTAAAAAATGAAAACACAAAAAATGTGTTTCCGTTTTGAGTTTTTTTTTTTTTTACCACCCAACACTAGCCACCACTCTCCACCATTTTCCACCACCATCTTCCGCCGCCACCACCCACCCCTACCACCACCTTTCCACCACCGTCTTCCGCTACCACCACCCACTCACCTGCCACTTGCCACCACCCACTCACCCGCCACTTGCCACCACTTTCCACTACCGTCTTCTGCTACCATCACCCATCACCTGCCACCATTTTTCGCCACCACCACCCGCCATCATTTTCCACCACCACCACCCGCCATCATTTTCCACCACCCACCTGTCCACCACCCCCGCCACACTACTACCACTCACTCGCTACCACCCACCACCTTCACCGTCACCCACTCACCTACCACCCACCTGCCACAATCCACCACCAGCCGCCATCCTCCATCACCTACCACTGTCACCCATCACCCGCTACCACCACCACCACCACCACCGCTACCACTACCACTCGCCACCGTCACCCACCTACCCATCACCACCACCATCCGCCATCCGCCACCCACTTGCCATCACCATCACCACCACCACACCCACTCGCTACCACCAACCACTACCACCGTCACCCACCCGCCCACCACCACCACCCACCACCCGCCACCGCTACCCACCAACCACTGTCACCACTTTCCACCACCGTCTTTTGTCGCCACTTGCCACCACTTGCCATTTCTTACTATTTTTTATATTTTTTAATTTTTTTAAACATTTTGTCAATTACCAAACACATTTGTAGTTTATGTTTTTTTAAAAATAAACAAAAAATAAACAAAAATCAGTTTATAAAATTTTTGTAAATATAAACTGAAAACGTAAACGTTACCAAACACACCCTTAGTTTTCTCGTAATAATTTATTTTCTTGCTGAAAAAAAATTATAATAATTGGTTTGGTTTGTTTTTTGGTAGATATTATAAAATTGTGAATTCAGCAGAGGACTACGCAACAATATTATCAAAGCTACACAATCAATGAATAACTTTTAAACCTGATAATGAATTTGGGCTACTTTCAATAATTTCTGCAAGTGTTAAAAATTTTGACCATTCAATGTGTTAAGGAATTTTCATGTTTGGACCTGCCTTCCCCAAACATTACTTATTTGTTTCGGAATGCCTTCCCGAACAAATAAGTAATGTTCAGGCCTGGATTCCTGAACGTAAAAAAATAAAAACTTTTGCAAGCGTTAACAATTTTGACCGTTCAATGTGTTAAGAAATTTTCATGTTCGGACTTGCATTCCTAAGCATTACTTATTTGTTCGGGAATGCCTTCTTGAACAAATAAGTAATATTCAAACCTGTATTTCCGAACTTGAAAAAATGAAAATTTATGCAAGCGTTAACAATTTTGACCATACAATATGTTAAGAAATTTTTATGTTCAGACCTGCATTCCCGAATATTACTTATTTGTTCAAGAACGCCATCCCGAACAAATAAGTAATGTTCGGGCCTGTATTCCACCAAGGGATTGTCATTGTTACCGGCAGAATATTGTCATTGCCGAAGAAATGTAGGTAGTCAAATGGTTGCCACTGTTACCACCGAAATATTACCATCAAAGGGTTTTCAAAGTTTTGAAGGTGGATAAATTTTGAAAGTAGAATTTGGGAAAGATGAATTGGTGATAATGGAGGTGAGTGCTCTCATAAACCCTAATTCATGATGTAGTGGGAGTGTAAGTTTAATTATGAGATGGGGTGTCCCAAAATTAACGATGTCATTTTTAATAATTTTATTTAAGGTTATTATTGTGATAAAAAAAGTTAAAAATTAGGGGGTTCAAAATAATTTATGGAGTTCTAATAGGAGCACTCTTTATTTATTATGAAATGATATATAAAAAGTAAAAAATTATGTGATTTAAATAAATCAAAAAAATTAATAAGTTGGCTTATAAGTCACTCCCTAAAAAGGCCTAATAAATTAAAATTTCGAAAATTAAAATTTTGGGCGAATTACACTAACGATCCTTTTAGTTTGGGAATTATGTCACTTTAATCCCTGACTTTTCAATTGTGATAAATTTGACCCTAAATTTTGAATCTCATTCCAAATAAAAATAATTGAAGACACGATTGATTCATTTTAAGGGCAAAGTCATCAATTTAATAAAATATAAACTAATTTGACAAAAATAAATATTAAAAATATATTTTTTAATTTTTAAAAATTATTTCTATATTTGAAAGATAAAATTATATAAAAATAATAACTATATTTTTTTTATCAAATTAATTTTTAGTATGTATTTGAATGATAATCATGTAATGGGTGATTATTTTTGTTGATATTTTTGGATGGTTTTAATGTAATAGATGGTTGTATTTGTTGTTAACAGATATTTTTTTTATGTTTATCTGTAATGAATGATTATTAAGTTTTTAATGTGTAATCAATATGTATAATATATG